TCTTTCCTCGTATGATAAGTTAGCTATGCTGTGAACCATACGTGTTACCTTCCTTTGAACACTTTCTAGAATGTGTGAATCCCCTTTTAGACAAGGACTGGCGGCCTGGATGCAGTTTTCCAGTCTTGACCTAACCAGAGATGTATATAAGGAGGTGAACATATCTCTGGTAATTCTTGTAAAGGCTCTGCGAATCGCCCATAAGGACCTGAAACTACGTGCAGCCACCGCGCGGCAGTGTGCTGTAGTTTTTAAGTCGTGGCTAACTATGACACCTAAGTCCAAGTGAGTCTGAACTGATGGAAGTGTTATTCCCTCTAATTCGTAGGGGCTTGTGCTTGATTGTCCAATGCGCATGGTTGCACATTTTGCCACATTGATCGGGAGCATCCATTCAACAGACCACTCCGACAATTTGTTGAGGTCCTCTTGCAACGTGAACGTATCACTGTTGCTCTTCAGCTCTCTCCAAATTTTTAAGTCATCTGCGTCTAGGACCATAGGGGAGTCGGTGAGCAGAGGTAACTCATTGATATACAGAATAAAAAGGAGAGGACCGAGAACCGTGCCTTGTGGCACTCCGCTACTTACTGCTGTCCAGGAGGAGAGTTTTGAGTTGATCCCAACCCTCTGCCTCCTATCTATGAGGAATTCTCTGAGCCAGTCTAGTAGTCTGCCTTTGATACCAAGACTTTCCAATTTCATGAGTAGTCTTTTGTGAGGTACTTTATCAAAGGCTTTACTGAAGTCTATGAAGACGACGTCAACGGGTCTTCTGTTCTCCTTTGATTTGACCCAGCTTTCTCTTGCAGTCAGGAGATTTGACAGGCATGAGAGGTTCCTGGAAGAATTTCTGAAGAAGACTGATACTATAATAATGAGTTTGGTGACTTTGGTAGAGTAAAATTCCATCATAAGAAAAAGACGTACACAGAGAAGAGAATTTTTTGACGATTTATTTTCATGAAGTGTACATTCGTAGTTATAATTTTTATAATTCCCAATTAGTCATCCCCATCTAGATTACACGTTACATTATTTAATACATTCTCTAGGATAAATTTACCAGCATCCAACTGGTCTTATGAATTCTTTTTAAATATAATTATAATTGTACAGCTTATGGAAATGAATTGTGGAAAGAAAATTTTCTTGGTTGTTGGCGTCCTTTTCTTATAACTCTACATGAGAATATTCCGCTCACACAATTCCATTAGATAAAAGTTTTATTTGATAAAATAGACTGTGATACATTATTACTTACTGATAAGGTTTCGGGCACAATTCATTGCTCAGTCTTTCTGAATGTTGATCATTTTACATTAAGCATTTTAATAAGAGCTTACCTTTATTCGAATGTCGGCGTGTTTAAATCCACCTGGTGTTGATCTCTGAAACCCAACCAATGGAATCAAAGTCTTACCAGCTGATTTGGAATTGGCTATCATGCATTTCAATTAAGATGTATTTTCATATTCACTGGAATAGTGTGACTAGCAGTATTCACTTTTGTGACGAGCTGCACTATACTGTCCAAGGTGATGTTTCTAGTAAGGATACTATTTAATTCATATTTATATACACATACCCAGTATACCTGTGTTAACCTTTAGTTATCCGGTCTCTGTCAAATCACTTTGGGAACATGTTTTTATTGTTACCTCAAAAGAACCATTTTGAAGAGCTTGGAGAGCCTAGAAATTCGATAATTTGCCGAAGTATGTATATTAAGAATTGTGCACCGTTGTTATAACTAGAGCAAATGATCCTGGCCTAGTTTAATGGTCGGAACTAAACCCGGAAAAATTGGAATGGTTGGTTGTGGACTAGAAACCTCATCACATATAAAACAACCCTATCGCCACGTAAACTTCAAAGCACAGAGAAAAATATGAAAAAAATTATCATCCACCGGAGTATGAATGACGCACCATGTTTGAGAATGGCTATTCAGATTGTACAAGAAACGAGAAGTATAAAGCATAGAAGTATTGGGAATCCGTGAGAGTGGATGAGATAGAAGTTAACTTTCCAAAATTTTTAACTGGAGAGCTAATAATCTACTTTAGTTAACCAGATGACAACCATGAGCTCACTAAGAGAATGGCCATCATGATGTCACAAAAAGCATCGAAGGTTCACATGCAGTGTGAACTAATCTCATCCGTGATCATGACAGCAAGATTCAACTCAAGAGGTAGGAAATTTACAATCAGGCGATATAATCACTTACAAACAACGCAGACCCGATAGAGAGGAAGGAAAACTTTCACAGATGCAAATAGTAATGGATAAGACCCAAGGCAGATGATGTCGCCAAAATTGTAATGGTTGACATGAATGCCAGTCAGACTGGAAGCAGACAACACATGAAGAGAAGTCGCCATGCATCGAGGGGTAGTGGGTAAAATTAATGTGAATGTCGCCGACTTCTATACCTTCAGTGATTCGGTGACTGGAAGCAGTGTGTATAAACACAATTATATGCATAGGGGGGAGTGGGTTTCACCTTACGGACACTCCAAAAATAAAATAGATTTCATTTCAACCTCAAGAAAGTGGAAGTGCAGCCTACTAGACACAAAAGTGAGAAGAGGAGCAGGTTTAGGTTCAGTGCAATGAAATTTTTCCGTATCACACTGGAAGCTTGCTAAGAAGCTAGAGATAGGCCACAGTTAAAGTTCAACACTTAGGAATTGAGGATGAAACCACAAACATTGCCTTCACCATAGTCAGCAGGAAAATTTCATGGATATTAAGCAATGCCACTGGGAAACCTGCGTGCAAAAACACTGGAACCCATGGAAAGCGTCGTGGAAGGAAACCGGTATAGACATTTTCGGAAGGAAGATGTATAGCTAAGAATGGTTGACTACGGACTGTTGAGAGCTAATGGAGAAGGGAAGAATGGTAAAACAGAAGATAAACAGTGTGGACATGAACAATGAAGGAAGGAACTAAGTAAAAGAAGAAGAGCGGTAAGATAGATACAAAACGCTTCAGCGTCAAACTTTCAAATGACACAGAACGGACTTTACATAATAGAGTCTTCAGGGAACTGTATCAGATAACCATATCGCTGTCCGGAAAGAGATCAGCACAAATAAAAGACCGAGAAACTAATTATCGAGATGGGCGAACAAAAGAAACAATGAGCTGATTACTTCAAAGTACTCCTCAATCGACTACCACCGATGCGACCAAAACACCAGCCACAGAACTGTCAAAGAGCGCCAATTCTCTGACAAAACCAGACGTGTTGAATGTCACAAGCTTACTGAAGGCAGAAACGCAACAGAATCAGACGAATATTCTCCCAGAAACACTGAAAACAGACCCAGAGACCTCAACATATATGCCCAGGTCATTACAGCAGACAGTGTAGAAGGAGGAAACGGTACATACCGAATGGAAGAAAGATTCCCTCGTCAAACTGCCAAAGAATGGAAACTTAGGCCTTTCTAAAAACTGACATAGAACATTGCTCCTGTTCATTCAAAGCGAGATATTAAGTCACAGCATCTTAGAGACAGAAAAAGATGGTCTGGATGCAAAACATCACTCATAACAAGCTGGATTCAGAAAAAGTAAGTCATATGCAAATCAAATTACATCGCTATACATCATCATCGAACAGGGCATATAATTCCTCTCAAATTTATAACTCAGCTTCATTGACTTTGAAAAGGCCTTCGACAGCATTGACTGTGGAGTAATTTGGAAATTGCTGCAACACTACGGAGTGCGTCAAACCTTTATCAACATCCTTCAAAGGCAACATGATGGCGACACACGCCAAGGAGTTCACAATAGAAAAAAGAGAGAAGCCTTTGAAGTGGAGTCAGGAGTAAGATAAAGCTGTCTAATATTACCGATGATATTTCTGATTATGTTTGACTGGGTCATGAGGCACAGACCGTAGATCTACAGGCGAAAGCCAAAAAGTTAGGTGAAGAGACAGCAACGACAGGACTTTCAGTGAGCGTAGAGAAGACACAAAAGTAGGCAGTAAGAAGCCCTAATCGATATAAAACAGATAAGTATAAATAGTCATCTTTTTCAGTTACCTGGACACCATCGTTTCAACTACAGGTAGGCAGTATGCACAAGGATGTCAATGACACTGAGGATCAGAAAAGCACACATATCTTCATTACTCTAAAATCAGTATGGAAATATATTGCAGTCAGCACAAAGAGCAAGATTCGAATTTTCAATGCTAATGTCAGTGCTTCTATATGCTTCGGAGACTTAAAGCACGCATCACTAAAAGCATTTTCAACAGACCACTGAAGGCTTTCATCAACAGATGCCTCCACTCGATGCTGAACATCAAATTCAAATATTCAATAGGAAATGGAAACTGATTCGATATCTTCTGAGAAGACCGTTTAGTGGCATCATCCGCCAAGTTTTCGAGTAGAACACGAATGATGAATGATAGTTTTGGCATTGATGGCGTGGGTGAGATCATGTGACGAGGAACTGAAAGCTTGTAGGCAGTCGTGTGGCCAGCTAGAAAAGATGTGCTTCTGAAGCTCTATGATCAGCATGGACGAATAATGACACCTCTAAGTTAATATTTACTACGAAATCTATTTTGATTCCAATAAGAATACAAAATTCCAACAATGCCTTCATGCATTTTAACGTAAGCAACGTTGTGTCTTATCATTATATAACAACGTGTCCCAATTTACAAGTTTTGGGGCGACTGAATGCGAAATTTTTAGGTAAATGCCTCCTTTTTCACCCAATTACCCCCAGATATCCCGAAAAACCCTTAAACCCCGGAATTTCCCCTGAAAAATCCAAAATACCCCCCACCCTATTTACCATAGTTACTGTTCGCAAAAAATGAAATCCCGAGTATAAAACAATGAATAATGGAAAAGTGTATACATATATTTCATACGTAGTAAGATGTATGTGCACAGTTATATTGAAGAAGAAGTAATGTTATCCTGTTAAAAATTATGGCTCGTGCATTGTATTCTCCTTGTCATTGTCACTGCTGATATCCTAAGAAGGTAAAATACGAAAGATTAATGAGACAATTGCAAAAAAGGTAATTAAAATATGAAATGATAAAGTTCTTTTGCCCTTGTCAGACAATGAGGAATGCTAGAATGTAAATATTGAAAAGTTACTGGATGCGAATGATGATACTATTTAATAAAAAAAGACATTAAAAAAACAGGTGACAACCATTGAATAAGAAATCAGTACTGATTTAATGAATGTAGCATACCTTTGTTCTCTGACACTTTTTTAATTTATCTCCCAAGTCATGCAAATCGTTTTGCGTTGATACATCTACAGTTTTCTTGAAATCATTCTCATCATTGAATTCTCTACCGAAATTTGACATCACAGAGTCTAAACGTCAGATAATCTTTTCAGTGCCTACTTTTACTAAGTTGGTAAAAAGTGGAATATTTTAATCTTGGTTTCTTGATCGTGCTATGTAATGTAAATTGGGCCCATGAATTAGGCAATCAGGTAGGTTTCTCATTGTTTTTCTAGAGTCATAATGAGATAAAATTGGCTAAATTTGCAGTCTACAAATTGTAAGAGATTCAAGAGTTGTTTACGAAACTCTCTCTTCTTTTGGATTTTTTTAGAAGACTGACCGAATAGAATTAAGTTAGCCTCAGCATCAGTCGGAAAATTCATATGCACTGCATCCGTAAATGCAGATTTCTTCTCCTTGAATGACTCCAATTGTTTCATTAAATCTATCATGTCAAAAATAAGCTTAATAATTTCTTTCATTGTTTCTGAAGTGTACATAAAAGCCACAAGAAAAGCACACTTACCTGACACGGAATTCATGGTAACTTTTATATCATCATCCAATCGCCCTTGAATAGTGCTTTGTAAGATGAAAACATTTTTGTTAGTCACTACTTACTTAAGTTTTCCGAGGCTGAATTTGGTGTGGAAGTCGTGAAAGTTGGTTGGGCACTGTTGCAACTGCCATAGTGAAATAAACTGTAAGTAAATAGGCACCTTGTTACCAGAGACACTTCCTGGATTAACAGATTAATTTCTGAATATTTGACTGGTCGAAGGTTGCCTGCATTTCAACAACCTCCAAGTAGAAAAGTTGTAGAGGAAGCTGCCGTCTGTAACTCGTGGTTTCCTAAGAAAAAATTCACGATGAAGGAACTAATTGTTCACCTACTAGGTATCGTCCTCAAGGATAATGTTTTCCCTTCATCTAATGGTTTAGTAGTTTTCTACCTGTCTACGTTTAACTGCTCTCTAGCTATTTTATTATTATTATTGTATCCTTTAGTTCCTAGAGGAACATTGGGCTTCAGCTGCGCGTCTCCATTGCCTTCGGTTTTCTGACAACTTTTTCACCCTGCTCCAGGTATGTCCACATGCTTTCATCTCCTCCTCGCACGACCTCCTCCAAGTCACCCTTGGACGACCAACTCGCCACCCGCTTCCCTTCCGGGTTCCACTCGAGGGCTTGTCTAGTGATGTCACTTGATGGTTTCCTCAGCGTATGGCCAATCCATCTCCATTTCTTTCTGCCTATTTGTTTCACAATCGGTTCCTGATTGGTTCGCTCCCAGAGATCCCACCCTGATGCTGATCTTTTCTGGCCGGCCATCTGGTCTTGAGTATTGAGCGGAGACAGTTGTTAATGAAGGTTTGAAGTTTGTTTGAGATGCTCTTTATGACGCGCTGGCCAAGTCTCTGATCCGTATAGTAGCACTGACTGACTTCACATTGGAGTTGAAAATCCGGATCTTATTTTTGATGGTGAGTGCTGTTGACCTCCACACAGATTTGAGAGTAATGAAAGCTTGTCTTGCTTTTCCGATTCTGGCTTTGATGTCCTCGTCAGTTCCGCCTGTAGTTGAGACGATGCTTCCCAGGTAGGTGAAGGAGGTTGTTTCTTTCAGGTTCTTCCCACTTATGCTGATTGTTATCTGTTGTTGTTGTTGTTGATGTTGGCTAGGAATCTTAATCATCTCTGTTTTATCTATGTTCACGTGAAGTCCTATCTTTGATGCTTCTTCTGCCAACTTGTTACTTTTCACTTGCATATCTTCCAGTTTAGCTATTTTAGCAGTATTTAAATCTTCTGTAGTCTGAATTTAAAAAATTTCACTAAACACATCAGTTGTCAAAACCACATCGCCTTTAATTAACTGTCCATTCAACGTTCTTAGCGGAAGAGCTACCAGAGATGTCATCCTCAATAGCCCTCCTGTAAAGTATACTGCCAATCGCCAGTTGACGGATATCCATTATAAGAATTAATTCAGAGCCATTAGTTGGCTTCAAAAGCATGAGTTTCTGGGACGCTGGCTGCTGAAAGCAACATATGAAATTTAAGGTAAGTGAATAGAGAACTTCGAACAGAACGCTTGAGGAAAAAAGCTGAATCAGAAAATACTGTTCTATGCAAATCTACATTTCGGGAGACTGTAGGCAGAACATCTTGAAAGCGTTAGTGGAACACGCAATGACGTGTATCAGCCGTCCATGAATATATGAAAAATAGGTATGATAACTTCATGCTGACGCATGGATACTTCATCAAAAGGCATAGGAGAAGTCTTCGGATGATTTAATCGCAGTTAATTTAAATTTATAAATCGCCTCATCTGCCTCCACGAATTTCTCGAAATTGTTTAATATCGCTAGAAAATAGTCCATCACCCAGAACTTTATATGAATCCCTGTTGAGAAAACACAAGCTAACCTATGGTAGATAACAGACCAATCACTAGCAAGACAAATAGTAGAATTGTTCAACTGTAGTGTGAAAGTCTTTTACATCAGCGAACATTACATGGAAATTTTCATATGCTCAGAATACATACTTTAGAAAGGATGGAGATTAGTCACTTGCTGAATAAATGTGTGTGTTAGTTAAATATTACTTGATTACCGGTAATTTGTATTTGTTACTGGCAGTTCGCATTGAAGTACAGTAAAATGTTTACCTTCTGTTAACAGTCACAGTATTCCATACTCAGTTATACTTGTTGGCCACCGTTCAGCTTTAAATTTTAAGGACTAATCTCAAGTTTTTAGGAGTTTTTTTCATTTGTTAAGTTATTACTCTTTTTCTCGTTACACCAACAACAGAATGCTAACCCAGGTAGTTTTACCACCTCTCTCCTTACATTTCAGTGCCAGTAAGACTGGCAAAAGACCTAGCTGGTGAGATGATTAGCTGACAGCTACGTGTCATTCACTTAGATGATGCCTGTGTATCACTCTTTAACATAACATAAGCTTTATTCCAAATCAGTACTTGTGATACAGAATGGAATTCTCAGCATTTTACTACAATATTGCATCCAGTTTTTACATTAACAATAAATAAAGTTCTACATAGATTAAAGTTATCTCAACAACATATTAGTATGTCGGTAGCAAAGCCAAAATTAAAGTGTTTGAAGGTGTTAGAAAAGTACATACTACTAGCATATTTACTGGCGTAACCGATAGCAAAATGGTCGAGATATACAGAGTGTGAAAGAACGAACAAGAATGTTTTAAGTAGAGTTTGTAAGGAAGAGAGAAACAAAACAGCACATAACAAAAATAAATACAGAATGAAGAGCGAGAAAACGTTGTACCTATAAATGATGTGAGTTGGAAAGACGAGATCCATTTGTTCTACTGACTATTTAATAAGTTAAAGGTTTCATGCCTGATGCATTCTTTATCGCACAGAACACGGGCTAGGTAGGGTATGGATGAGTTTTTGTACTTACTAGTGCGGGCATATAGTTTCCTATGTAGGCTTCTGGTTTTCCCTGAAGAGATACATGGGGAGAGTTGTGAATGTAGAGGGTGTTGTGAGTCAGATAAAATGGATTTCGCCCATTTTTCACGAGTCCATGTGCCTGTCCACCAGAATGTTAACAAGCTGGCTAAGTGGCAAACTGCTTACCCTGCTGACAACCTTTAACATCCTACGTAATAAGGTATAGTCTTTCTTCAATAGCCCGGGAAAGACTAAGGGGGAGCAATAGAGAATAATAGGCAGAATACGGGAGTTAACAAATTGTAGGAGTAAGGGTTGGGTTACACCAGAATGTCTTAACTCTTGATGACTGAAGTGGAATTTCGATCTAGATTGGTTGACCCAAATAAGATAAGAAATCTAGAGAATAGTTCAGGTATAGCACTACATGCAGTTACACACAACCATACAATAGGATAGGATGACAGTTTTAAAATTTAATGTCACAGGGTATAGGGAGAGATTGATAACAGAAGCTTTGTTTATCGAATCAACTGCAAATACATGTAATAGGAATGATTCATCACCTGTCCCAGATATCTGGAAAATTCTACTACCCCTACGACAAATAGGAGAGGACAAAGAAAACTATAAAACTCAAGTTTCAAAGTCGTGTGATTACAATTCATATGATTATGAACAATAAATTTTGTTCGAAACGTCATCCAGTAAATAATACTGTTTCACTGTGTGATATATCTAATAAACAAACTAATATGAAATTACTTACTACCACAGTGCCCAAGTTTTACACATATATTAGTGGAATTTCAATCGTTTTTTTCATTCATTGGGAAATACAAACTTTTATAATAATGAATACCATATGCTCAAATTTTTTTCAAACTGTTAAAAGTGAACTTGGTTTGGGCGTAAATAACTTATACATGAACATAACGGTAATTACTAAGTTTTAAAAATATATCAAGTAAAAACTACAAGAACAGTACATGTTCTCGAGAAATCAACTTTAATTTTCAGATGACAAAAAGTATGGAAGAAGAGCTGTGAGTTGTAAGTGAACTAACCGTTACACCTAAAAAACTATTTAAAGTTTTAAAAAACAACTCTGATTGAATGCAGAGATTTACGAGGGTCACCGGAGTCTACACAAATATTTCAGAAAGAACGGAAGACTTTCATCGATTCTTCCTATGAATAGCTTATAGCTACGTAATCTGTTGCAGTCCATCGTTGATTTTATTATAGAGGTCGCCAGGTGAGGTAGTGTATCTGTTTATGTTTCAAGTTAGTGTTGACTACGAGCAAATGGATATCTGAACAGAATTGTAGGAAACAATTACCACTGTCAGTTCGTTAGCATGCGACTCAATAAGTACCACCCGTCTACTTTTCTGATGGGAATAGCTTCCAACTTGAGCTTTAAGGTCACCTGCTAGAACGACTGTATCTGAGAGTTTGTTTTATACTAACAAACCATACAGCCTTCGATACAACTCACCTTTTACTTCATCCCAACTGCAATCGGCGTAAGTGGAGGTAATAAAAAAACATTTACAAGTACCACTATCTTTCATTCTTCACACAAATCCGTTTAGTCAAGCAGCACACAGACAACTATACACCAGGACCGAGTTAAGTAAGGATTTTCCAGCTCTAGATATCCCTACACCTGAAAGTACTCGTCAACTAGCCAAAGAATCCTCTGATACCAGTAAGGTGAAGTAGTACTTGATGTCATAAGCATAAGAGAAGATAGAATAGTATTTTTATTGACAGAAAAGGTGGAAGATGAAGGTGGGTGGTTGCCTGTTCCACTGAAGCTGACCTCTGATTAAAATATCTGAAACAGAAGGAGCACAAATACTGATCGCAGAGCCCACAGAACTTCTTAATGTCGTTAGCACACGGATACTGACTGCTGCAAGACAAGTTGGGATTTACAGTTTTCAGGATCAACCTTCGCTAACCCTTCTTCCCAAAACGAAGGCAGCATAGCTGACTGTTATATCCCTATTCGCTAGCAGTACAACTTCTCCTTCAAACTCCCCACATAGTGTAAGCAACTTACACTATGATTGTAACTACTTTTGGTCCAACCGTAGGAACATTAGTTCCAGTCAGTGTAGCTCCTTAAGTAGTCACGATACGCATCAAGATAGCGGCCATCGATAGAGCTATACATAATTAATTTAACCAGAATTCCAACCTCCCCATAAGACGTATAGCGTCTTACAAATATGTTGAAAAGATAAGAGCAAATAATTCAGTGAAGAGTCCTCACACCTCTGCTGATGGGTGCTCAAAAGTCTGACTTCCTCCAGTCATATTCGTAAAAACTTCCGCATCATATCTATACTATATGTCAGCCCATAACTTTGCTATATAAGAGACTACTTTTGGCAACTTAGGAGAAGTGAAAATTACAGTACAAGCCCAGATAGTAATCAACAGCATACTCCAGAAGCTCGGAATAAATTATTCATGATATCACGGTTCAGTAAAACGAGTTATTACCCAACACAACTTATACAAATGACACTAGGGTAGAATAACCACTTTTATACTCTGAATCTTAAGCGAAATAAACTCCAATCCGTCTATTATGGATGCATTACAACCTCATATGACGGCAGAGCATGTTATGATTTCGCTAGCTTTCGTGATAACCAATGAAGTACTACTAATATTTTTGGCGTTCACTCGCCGGTAATCACAAGTGGGTCGTCAATCGTTGCTATCCTTTTTCGGTACCATATGCAGCGGGGATGCCCATGGGCTATTCAATGGCTGAATGATGCCAAGGGTGATTCTCAGTTTGCCAGGAGCAAGTTGTCGTGCTTTAGATGTCACGGGCTGTCCTGAGTTTATAGTGTGGTGCATAACATTGCTGGTTATGCACGGTAGGTCGTCAGACGGGCAATTAAGTTTCGGGTATTTATCAACAATCGGTTGAAAATTTGGATCAAGGATTGCCCTTATCTTAACCAGTGACAAGCTGGGGCCCATGTATGTGATGCCTTTGATAGAGAGAATAGTTGTACCGTCTATCAGCCGTTTTCGGCGGACGTCTACGAATAAATTATAATGATTAAGTAGGTCCGTGTCAATGGTGAGCATTGTGACGTCAGCGAGAAGGAAAATCTGCTGAATAGGTTTGCGTAAAGCTACGTTCAGATAGACGTATTTCCTACCAAAGGTTGCGATTGGTTTTCCATTTGCAGCCTGTAAGATGAAGGTAGGTTCCTTCTGTCGATCTGCTGCTGTAGCAGGAAGGACGCTGACCTCGGCGCCTGTGTCGACTAAATATCGGGTCTGGTTGACCACATCATGAATGTAAAGTAAGTAGCTAGTTCCACCGGCGGCGGTTGCCGCTAACGCGTTCCGGCGGGATAGTTTCCCAAAGACTTTGAGACGCTGCCAAAATTACAAGGTTTTCGGCAACATACCGCTTCCTGGCCATAGATGTTGTGATAGCAGCACACAATTTTCTAGTGAACAGCACAACATCTAGAAAGCTTCTATAAGAAGTAATAATTTGAAGTCTTATTCATTGTCAAATACTCAGTATAATTACCTTTAACAAGTAGATTAGTACGAACATGTAGTCAAGACTACTATCGACTTTTTGTCATTTGTAGCCTTAAAATCAACTTGAGACAGGCGCACCAATATCCTCATCAGATAGTCCTGTATTTATTTTTCCTCCTAGCTGTTAAATGTATGCACTGTTATAAATGAGGACCAACTTAATAAGCGTACTGATCACTATCTCTACGCTGAAAATAGTCGTAACTAAGTAGAATCAGAAGATTTATTGAGATTTATCACAATAAAAATGATTTTGCTCTATCTTATGAAGAAGAAAACAACATTTTTAAAAGCCGCCATTCACAATGATAAAATTGATCTTTGTAGTTAAACTTTAAAAACAATAAATACATGGATACAGAAAACAAAGGACAAAATCACATTTGCATTTCATTTTAAAATTTACACCATCATTTCACATCGCGTAAGTCAAAAATAAAGAAAATATATAAATAATCATAAAGGTAAGAAATAACAAAATTCAAGTAAAGGAAATAAATAAATATATTTATATAGAATATATCTGGATAGAACACACTTTACTACTAACTGGAAAATGTTGTTCCCAACGGAATTATTGCCATTTCTGACTTCATGCAGAGGAATTCACTCATGACTGTCATAAAACCAATAGAAACCAGATTGACGATCCACCATAGAACAGAACGTGGAAATGTATGTGAATAAGCGATACAAAAAATTAAGTGCCAAAAGTGAATTGTACACGAGAAGTCAAGACACTGTTTACTGCGTTTAACTAGTCGCCATAGGCCTATACTGCATGCTAGAGGTGTTAATAGGAAACCAGTAAAAAGACAAATTCCAACAGGGTCTGGGAAGTGTATTTTTGAATCTACAAAAAGCATTTCTATGCTCGGCAGATCACGTGAAAAAATGAGCAATAGAATGCCAGAAATTAAACCAGAAGAAATATAAAAGACGCATTGCATAAATACTATTTGACTGATTATCAGAATTGGATCCCAGGCAGCACTACGGAAAGCTGATGCCATTCATACGCGTTTAATATAAAGTTGAAGAATCCTATAATGAAAAAGACACACTTATTAATAATATTTCATAATGTAAAATGTAACAAACAAGTAGAAGTCATTGACAAGCGGGAGTTATTTATTCAGGGGAAAAGAGAAACTCGTACAAAATATACATATAATTCAATAGGAGACTATTATCTACAAAAATCTCAGCACACTGACAGATTTTCAAGAGACGCAATTCGACAGCACAAACAAAGCAAAGGTAGTCTCCAAGAGCTTCTAGGATACAAGAAGCTATCACAAAATGCTTCTAGTGGTTACGATTCCATCCAAGAATGTTACATGTCTGCAATGAAAGAATAAAATATGAATATATACATATATATATATATATGCATATATAAATTTTAAAAAATAACCACTGATTAAGAAATTATACGATTGAATATTCAACATTTAACAATTACAATAAACACTTTCTTCGTGCATAGATAGTTCAATAGTAGAATGTTTGCCGCCAAGCAAGTACATGATCCAACTTCGATTTTCAACCCACACCTTCCTAAACTTTGCCTACGTTACACTAGTAAGCTTGGAAAAAGAGGGGAGATTGAGTATGAAGCCAGCAACCCCACCGTCTGAAAACAACAGCGCTATTGAAACTCCCAAACTTGAAGCCTCACAGAGCACAAAAGGATGAAAAGATATAGGAACAAAAATATCTGAATCGGAATTTGGTCAAATTCAGCACAACACTAATATGTCGTTATTTAACAGATTGACTTTGATAGATGCCCCCATTCATAAGTAAACCATAATCCACCAGTTATAGAAGAGTGAATTCAGCTTCAGAAACAAATTAAGCAATTCATTTTGACAGGATAACTGTAAAACAGAACAAATCTAGATCTGCATACATATCAGTTTAACTAAGGAATACAATGATAAAATTAAACACTAACAGTAAAAGATTCTACTTTAGTATTTACGACAACTTTGGATACAGCAATAAAACAGACTGTGTTCGATTTGACTGCCCCCGAAATTATTATTTGAGACCCATGGTTACGTCAAACGTTTTTTCCCTACATTATACAGCTCATATTACTGTCTTTCGATAAGAACGAAGAAGTAACGTTTTATTTCAAATTTTGGTTCGTAAGAATTTGATTGGTTTCAAGTCAGATCTTATCACGAACCGACATCAGTTAGACAGTAGTTGTTGTTGAATGGCAACTAGTAAATGTGCTCAGAACACAAAGTGTAGAAATTATTCTATTTATTTTAGTTTGATAATGACTATCTACATTCGACCGATGCACCTGCTAGTTTTTTTTACCTCGACTACAATAAAGTTAAGGGTATTTAGTCATAGTCCTGGTTACTGTGATGAGAACATTTACACCCCATTGACTAGGGTTTACAAACTAGAATTACAGAAATAAGAACAGTATTTATGCCTTTAGTGAGTAATGAAGAAAGACTAATTAAAAGCGGCAGTTATAGGATGGATTTGTTTCTCTTTGGAGTGGGGGGGGGGAAGTAAAATTTGCACTAAAACGAAACTTACAACATTCCCAAAAGCCAAAACACCATTGCTAAGCATACTCGCTGCTGCTTTCAACTGACACGAGACAAAGAGAAAAAATGTTGTTGCGGGACATAGAATTCATTTTGAATACACCAGTTTGATAACATATTTACGCATTTGATAACGCGACCATTGCCAGGAGAGTTGATTCGTCATAAAAAAATAAATAAATAAATAAATATGGAGCATTACACAGTGAAACAAAGAACTAAACAGCTACTTTAACACAAATCTACAGTTTCTGGGATGCACATAAACTTAAAGTCCTTAGATCATAAATCAAAAGTATGTTATTCTAAGGCACCATAATTTCAGACTAATCAATTCGTGGGGACTAAAAGACATTTATCCTTTGAAATGGCAACAACTGGTAAAATCTAGAGGAAGTGCCTACCTCACACTGCTTATATATTCTAGAATTTAAACTTCTGAATAGTCAACACGCAATCTGGCAGGAAACAAGTTACGGACATTCCGAATAGGTGGAGACCTTGACAAAACTCGATCTTTTGATCAAAGTGAGCGAAAATCGGAATATTCCTAGTATGGCTCTCATTTTTTTCGAATTCAAGGTGAGTATATACCGCTGTCCTGTTTAATGCCAGGAAATGAAGAAATAGGATCCATTAACCGCTTAAATGATTTGGACTGATTGTTGACAAACACCTATCATACATAGGTTGCCCTGCCTAGTGTTCCCACATCTCCAATTATTATTATTATTATTATTGTTCCCTTGGTTTCCTACTGGAACATTCGGCTTGAACTGCACGTTTCCACTTGTTTCTGTCTTCTGCTGTACTTACTTCTTACATGTATCCATGTTAGTCCATACTGTTTCAACTCCTCCTCACACGATCTCCTCCATGCCACCCTTGCACTGACATCCCACTCGCCGCGTGCTTCCCTTTCGGCCTGGTTCCACTCGAGCACTAGCCTGACGCGCGATGTCGCCCAGCGGCCTCCTTAGCGAGTGTCCAATCCATCTCCACTTTCTCCTGCATATTTGTTGGTTGGCGATTGGTTCTTGTTTTGTTTGTCAGTGCCCATAGTTTCTTGTTGGTGATTCTTTCCGGCCCCCCGGCCATCTGATCTTCAGTATAGAGCCAGAGAAGACAGTTGTTGATAAAGGTCTGGTCTTTAACAGGCTGTTGGAAATATTCTTTGTGACCCGTCCGCTCGCCCGCCAACTTTCTCATCCGTATAGAACAACTGACTGACTTGACGCTGTTTGTATTGAAAATCCTACCGAATCTTGTTGTTGATTCTGGCTGAGTGACGAAGATTTCCTTCCAGATTGGTTTCAGTTGATGAGTGAATGTGTTTCTCGCTCGCCTTCCCGATTCTCGCTCGATTTGACATCCTCGTCCGCTCCTCCTGTAGTTGAGACAATGCTCCCTAGATGAGTGAGTGAGTGAGTGAATGAAGTAACCTCTTTCAAATTCCTCCCATTGATGGTGATTGGAGCTGGATGTTGCCGCCGCTGTTCCCACATCTCCAATAGTCGCATATAATGGAACTATAAGGATGATGAGTGTAAAATGAGAGAGGTTAACCACACGGTAAGGTTGTGTATGTTGTCTAAGAGATGTGTTTTGCGTGATGAATGATCAAATTTCTCAAAAACCGGTCTTGCTTCAGGATTATGTTGAAGAAAAGTTGACAGTTTACAAAATCTAACATGGCACCAATCTATAAAATTGTCCAAACTAACTTAGATGTACTTCCTTTTTATCATCGGATCTTTAAACATTTACTTATGTTCATTTAATGACTGTGATACCATCTAAGTGTGGCTATTTTAATGATATAGTTTTTTCTTTCGGCATTCCAAAGCACTAGCAATTCATATTAGTAGTAGTATTGAATGTAATCTGCGAAATTAAGACCGATAGTTACAAGGCTAATAACTTCATGCATGTTGTTGTTGTTGTCAGGACTCAGTTATTTAGATTAGATTTTTAACGTACAAGCTACGGGCTACACCAATTGCTGTAATACCACTCTGCTAGTCAAGCTGAAGTTGGTGGGATATATTGGAAACCAGAAACCGAATTTTCACCTTTCTGTTGGCTGACTCTTTAATATCTAATATCAAGTCACTGTGCATAGAAGTGTTGTGTTGTTTAGCTTAATGACAATATTGCACATCTGACAGATACATTTTGGTCTTCTAACTAACGAGTGGTCGACTGGTGTCCAATATACAATCCTACAGGGTATCATCAAAAGTAACTTAATAGCAAAGTCATTAACTTTATCATTCACTGTTGCTTATTCGGATCTCAAACAGAGAAAGAAATCTCACGAGGTAGCACATATGCCTCGCTGATGAGGGCCAGCAACCATGAAACATATTTCTAATAATTCCTGATGACTTCCAAACCACCAGTTTATACCAGTGTTGACGGCGAGGTTTTATCCATACTTCAATGCTTGAAGCTCCAACTAAGTATTACCAAACAAACATAATAGCCCAGAGATTAGAGCGAACGGCTTACATCAGGCAGAACAACTAAACTATTATTCAGGTGTACGTGGATTTTTACCATTGATTGATATACAAAAATATTCAACAAACGAGAAAGACTAGAGTGTCAGTATCACAATATTCCAAACAACCTCATGGATGAACTGCAATCATTTTGAATCTTAGCAGTTGTGTGCTCAAAGAATAAGAATAATAAGATTCCCTATTGGAAAGAAGTGGAATTCAAATGCAAAATTCCATGATGTTTAGCACATCGCAATTCAAATCAGTTATTTGTGTCACTCCCTTTCTGGATAGTGAATTCTCTAGTAATCGTAATAAACTCTCAAGCATTGATTCAATCACTTTTACGACTAATTTCATATTCAATCACGGATAACCTCTGACTTCAGACGTATAATAGGTGAAAGGAATATATTTTACTGAATGCATGCATAAAATGATTTTTGTTTTATTTAATCACTTACTATGCAACAGAAAGAAGGTATATATGAGGATGAGAAATTCACTTTTTTCTCAACTAGTTGTGAAGATGCAGATCGAGTGAGAAAAGCCAACACTAGGTGAGTATTTTAGGTCAGTATATATATATATATATAATACTATTGAATTGTAAAATGATTAAACGATTTGTCGCACATTAGACCTTGATACCTATAGGGTTTGTGTATTTGAAAATGAGTTTTAATTTTCTGGAATGCAGGTAAATCAAGCTATCAAGTCCAAAACGACGTCCTACAGCTAGCTGGTGTTCACGAAAAAGAGTTCTGTGCATGAAATATGAATGTGGATGAAAACGGTTTTACTATGAAGAATATACGCTTATTTAATTAAGAAATAAACAAAACTTACATTCATCTGTTTAACTGATCGTAAATCTTCTATTCGTCTACGCAAGAATACCCAAGATTCAACAAGCTCTGGAGATTTATCCTGCAGCATATATAATTCAGTCAAGTTGTATACATAAGCCAAACCTAAACGTTTAGCGTACCATGACATCTAGGAAGGGAATACACAAAGAATAAGAAAATTGAATACGGGATGAGTCTGCTTGTTACCAAGTAGAAACAAACTATTTAATTCCACGAATCGTAAGTCAACGATGCATTTTATTTTTTTAATTCTGTCAGTTACCTACTCATTTTCAGTGAAAACAGAATGAAACTACAGTCCAGCTACATTTGTACATTTTTCACTCGACCTAAAACAAATGACTAGGACTTATACTCATAGGGAAATTCAGTTCAAAAAATTTCCTGAATATCTGAAGTTGATGACGAGAAACTGATATCAAAAACTTCTACAAAAGATTAAACTAACATTCATTGGTAGACAAATCAAGTAACTATTTATTCCCTCAAGGCACGCAGTATTCTTTTACAAAATGCAGATAACTGTTGAAATAATAAAAAATTTAAAATTTTTTATCAAGCTGTACAATCATATATATATATGGCTTTAAGAAATTATATCCCGAACCGATTTATTAACAAAAACACGAAAGATAAGCAGTTCAAACTGGTCACTGACTCGGTTCCAAAGAAAACCATATTCATGAATTTGGAATTTAAAAGTGACCAGACTTCAGATATACCAATAGATCCTCTCTCCCTCTAAATCAGTCAGTAAGACGTTCTTTGCCGCAAAACTAAGTAATAACCGTCACCAGCTGTAAGTTGTTCTCCGTCGCTGTAAGAAATAAACTCACTCATCTGGCCATTTCCATGCGCATCTGTCCGTTTCACCTGCTTTTGTGAAGCAAGTTACATTGGCCGTAGATAGAGGGCGCCTTGGATACATGGATACGAGAACATATTTCAGCATGGTATATAATTTATATACGACTGTACAGCTTGATAATAAATTCGGTGAAAAGAGTATTCACCAAATATTTTATTCTCAGTGTTACAATGGGAATTATTAAACTTTTGAAAAAAACTTTCTGTATGTCTGATTCACAATGGTAGACCTGGAAATACAAAGTGGTTAGTTTCTGAAAAAATTGTTTGTTTCTCGTATGATTGCTACTTTTTATCAACTTAATATCTGGTGAATAAGCATGGCGAAGTAAGCACTCAATAGGTTTCGTAATAAAATAGGTAACATTAATCTTCTCTGAATCCATCATAAGTTCTACAGTTAACATTTATTAGCTTACATATCTGTTATACTATAACTACGCAAATTGGGTCATGAGTGTCATTAATGTGGCAGTCAGCCATTCCTAAGAGTGATGTTTACTGAAGCTTAATACATTAAACGATTAAACTAGATTACAGAAATCCATTTGTTCTATGTGAAGCTACGTACTTCCATGTAAAGAAAGAAATTGTAAGAACGTCTTCAACAATATCCGTAATACAGACTAGCCCGGCCGATAAGTGTTACCTTGTAGTGGTGGTCGGGCTTGAATACCGTAATGACCCAACATGCTAAACTGACTGGGACTCTGTCCCTGCAGGTCCTACCATGTCAGGAAGGCTGTTTGGATAGCGGTTAAACTAAAAGCAGTTACCATGGGGTACATGGGCTCCAGTATCTAATCGGATCAAATGGCGTATGAACCCATATGGGTCACTGGCAGCCATGGGAATGCAGCTCCTGACGCTGCTCCGCTGCCTTGCGGATTAGACTCCAAGTCAAAGGCTCGGGGGATGGTCCCTTGATAGAACCACCTGCTTCGGTTTGGGCGCCCGGGCAGTACCTCAGCCCTCACACAATGAATTGAATGAAGCAACAAACAATTAATGAAACTTATCGCGTGCCATTACACGTGTTGCAATTTCCTTCTTTCTTCCCTTCCCGATGATAGTTAACGAATACTGTTTGAACTTGTTAAGTATGACTGTTTTCCTTCCAGATGAAGTTCCTTATCCGTTCTCTACTTACATATATATTTTTTCTCTTCTTTCTTTTTTTTCTTTTTTCTTTTGATCTATGTTGTTTTATTATTATTGTGTGGCGCATACTTCATGGTGTCATATTGTACCAAGTTTTTATGCGTTTAAATAAATAACTAATATAGACTAGAATAACTTTCTGAAAAATCCTTAGATATAATTCCCTTATGGGGATGCTGTTTTAGCTTGTGAAGGTTGAAACAGATAGTATCACTGAACAATAATATCAAATGAAAGACTACAAAGTAATCATGATACGACAATACGGAAATAGTAACTATACATATAAAGCAGATTTATCCACAAACAAGCACATCATTCTCAAAATTAGCATTGATGATGTAAAAACAGGTAAAAAATAAATACAGATACTTATAAGAAGCAAGAAAAGTGTATCGAAAAAACAAACAGTGAATGCAGCTTTATTCAGGCTGACAGTGAAGTATTACACACTTTTGTTTTAAACTAAATCGAGATCACATGTGTGACACCACCTACACACCCGAAGAGATATGAATACGTAAAACTAACGCTCCACTGATCTAATTAAATCCGATCACATCATAAACCAAGATGTTCACAATTTTTAATAAACTATGCAATAGAATAGAACTAGTAATACGCTAACGATTTTAACATTAATTATGGATATACGGATCGGTAGAATGAGACAGCAGTATCTACAATTTTCATTCAACCCGGTAGATTAATAACTACCACTCGGCGATAGGCAGCTAACCAATATATTTTCCGTTTTTCTTCATATGTTTGAAGTATAACTATTTTTTTGTAAGTCTTGAGTAGATGGTATCTAAGTCTATAAATTGCTTGATACGAAATCTCTAGATATTTTCTGTAATCAGAAAATTCAATGGATAATCGTGTCATTTAAAAAAAAGTATACTTACTGATAACAGTTTCACTTAATTTGATAGCAATCCTAATTAAGGATAATAGTGGTATATAAAACAATACCTGAATTTGACAAATGTCAAAAACATCGACTCTATTTCAGTGCCTGTTACAATATGGATGCTGATAAAATGTACTTCTTATCCTCTAGGAGATGTAGACTATGTATTGTAGAGAAATTTAAGATTAAAATGAATTAAATTAAATCTAGTGAATTTGCAATACTGTCAATTTGAATTTATTAAGAAAATTGAAGGTGAAGACTTACATCAGTCGAACGATCACCTGCCTGAGCCCATATTTCATCAACAAGCTGAGCTAACATACCAATAGAAGAAGGAATATTTGTCGGTAAGGATAACAACCCTAAAGCTTGAGGCCATACATCCAAGTATGGTACAATGGCTTTCAATCGATACTCCAAGGCACGGTATAAAAATTCATCTACCTCAGCAGCTGTAGATGGGGAGGACGACAAAGGGGATCTAGGATTAAAACGAGTAAACAAATTTATTATAAAAAATTAAGGTATGCCACCTGATCACGTACACAGCATTATTCTACTGCACATCAATATACATACACTAAGTTGAGAAATGTTTCCACTATGTTTTAGTCAGGAACATCATCTTAGTGTTTAAAAGCAAGTTAGGATAGACCTATAAAGAGAAGCAATAAAAGCAGCACTCATCATATAAATTGTTTGCCAGATGGCAGTAGTCAAAGAAAGGTTATAATAATGAGAAAGAACATTTGATTTAACTAAGCAGCTATACACAAGACAGGATTTATCTGTTGGATGAAAGAAAATGACATAATCATGGTAAGCGAGACATTGTTTCAACAACAAATTGTAGGAACTGAGGAGCACTGGACAACTACCTCGTCTACTCTGGGACTCCTTAGTAGTACAAACTTATGATTCTACGAGGGACAGAATCCAGGAACTTCCAGATAAGAGACAAGCACGTGACGAACTCTACCTTGGAAACAAAACAATCGTTTACAAGCCCAATGACTGAAAGTCAATACACTGCTTAATGATGACTGCGGAATGAATTACCTGCAGTTCTGGTGAGAAAAAGGTTAACGATGGGGCCAACGAAACAGGATTCGAGGACAGATACTCACTTATGACAATCCATCGCAGTGGCGCTATATCGTGAATTGAAGGAAGTTAGGACACATTGACCACTGCATGCGGATCCGGTCATGGATTCTATCCCTAGTGTGGTGACAAAAGTGTACTAATGAAGAGTTCCGAACTAAGACGAGACAATTATCCAATGCTTCCTGAGTCTTTAAATGACATTGAATAGTGACGAACTCAATCCTCATTACAAACTGTGGAAATAACGAGTTCCAACTGCTGATTTTACCTTATTTCTCGAGCAGTTACAAAATACGGATATCCTATTCAATTTCGTTGTTGTTATTCCCATCACTTTGTAATCGTGACGATAGTCTAACAATAAAACGTCAGATATGCAACTCTGATACAGAGCTTCGCAAGAACGATAAACCCACCATTCTACGTAAACTCACTATATCCACCGATTGGGCAATCGCCACTGAAAATTATCTTTTATACTTAGATGAGAGAAACAATACTTTCCATAAATGCGATGAGTAGTGAAACCTTCAACAGAGGTCATGCATGTATGATTTTATGAGAACACTGAAAGGGAGAGATTTTACTTATTATCCATATGCACTAATATATATATATATATATATATATATATATATATATATACTCAAAAAATAATCATTCTTGCTAAAGCAACACCCTTTTATGAAGCCAAAAATGTCTCACGTATATTTAACTTTTAAGAAAATAAATCAACTGAATACATACTTGGATTGATTTATTTCACTATTATTAGTAACATCACGAGTTCTCCATTGTTGCATTGCTTCAGCCAAATGTTGATTACGAGTAGCGTAAAAATGCAAAACTATATCAATACCACCCTTAGGTGCTACATAAGAATGCAGCCCTGGTGGCAAGCCTTCAACTTGGCAACAAGCTTCCACTGCCTCACGTGACCAGCCATATTTTGAGACATAGGCTAAGGTAGATTCCAAAACCCGAGCCTTTAGATTCGAATCTAATGCGACTGAAGAAACCTCAGTGCCACCAAAGTCTCTCTGACCACTTGATTCGGTAGAAACTATGGTTAAACAAAAAGGGTAGAAATATCGAAGAAATATAGGTGAACGATAAAAAGAAAAATACGATGATCGATAACTACTACTTCAGGTTTTTTTACAGTGGTAGAGAAAACAACTAATCGACCCCATGGTCGGTACAAGAGTCACTTAGACGTACGACCCTTATCGAAAGAGTTGTGACAAAACACCTAGCCATCTTGGTACGAAGACAAGTCAAGGCTTCCCCCCACCCCAGTGGTAGTCGAAATCATTGAGGCTGCTGTTTAAAATAATGAAAATGAACATACATTGTTATACTGGCCTACCGTTCATATTGCTATACGATGACAAAATTTATGTGGAAGCCAAAAGAAATACCACTGAATTCCCACCTAATCCATTTGCAAAAACTCTTTATGAGTCATAAAGATGGTTTGAAGTTATACTTTAGTAACGGAATACAGTGTTTCTTTTTTTCTGATAAATGTGACGCAAGTATTTCTGTTGCATTTCCAAGAACCCTTCCTGTATTCATCCTTAAAAATGCCTCGTAACAATCCAAAAGTACCGATACGGATTAAGACGATCTGGTAGGATGTACTTTAGAGATAAACGCTTCAGTAAAAGACGCAACAATAGGATCTCTTGATTGCTAAATCCAAATCCCACCCTACCGTCAAGAAATGCAGCCAGTGTCGAGTGTCGGTATATTTTTATTTTTTAAGATATGAAGAGTAAATACCTAGTCGACACAGTTACCAGTTCTAACTTCCGAATTTTTTCCCTAGTTTTATGGACTATAAGTCAGCATAATTCCTTTCTGGTTTTCACAGGAAGATTCTTCTTCTGCATTGTGAACTAGGATAGTCAGAGATTAAGACCATAAAGAGCGCATATTCACTGACTTCCTGCCGTAGCTAAAATCTCAACCAATATGGCTTGTAATCTTGAAACACAAGCTTTAAGCACCAAAACAAATAGTCCATAATGCATCTCTGTCATCCTTCGTTTGAGAAAGCTGAAAGACTTTTGGACCACAGAAACCGTTGCAGTTTTGTGCTAACTCATCATTCATGCTTGTAAAGAATCATGGGAGAAGAGTGATTGCTTAGAGGTTAATTGATATGTCCCCAGTGTTGTGAATTTTCCATGTCGTTTAGAGACTCCATTGCCAACTAATCCCATTATATAATAATCTAACAAAGCACTAGTCTCTCAGGCTCATTCTGATAGACCCAAGCAATCATCCACCATAAATAATTACTAATAAGAAAGACAAATTTACAACCAAAAGAAGACATTATCTCAACTGGATGCCACCGACCTCAAGCAAAAGATACAGGTAATCGGCATCTCACCGCATCTTCACCCACCAGCCTCAGTGAATATCAACTAAATACCTTCGTGGATGTCGGTGCATCGGACGGAACCCATGTAAACTAACTGTCCTTCCACATGGTAAACTAGACAAAGAAGTGTTTTCTACTCCACATTATTGCGTCTGACTTCCTGGTGTTTTCAGTCACATCCTAAACAACTACTACGCTGCGGCAATGCCTCGTCTTGAAGGGAGTGGCGAGGAAGAATATTGTACTAATCCACTCGAGTTCATACAACGGCGTAAATTCCCACAGAGAACTGCCATCTGAAGCGAGGACAATCAGTGACACCTGCCAAGGGTGCCGAATGTCACTATTTTCATTCATTTTCGTCACAAATGTACTAATGTAATTCTGGTCGACTTCAATGTTTAATGGATTGACTTGTAACCGAGAAGTACGTAAATAATATAGACATGCTAAGTGAAGATACTGATAAAATACAATATGTTCTGAAAAACTTGAACAAAATTCCAGATACGCTTGGTATGCACCTGTCAAATGTAAGGTGTTACTATAGTGCTAGACTCCACGAACCACAAATTCAATGGATTCACCATTCCACTTATCAAAGAAATTGCATCAGCCTTAAAGCATTGGGCGCTGATAGAGCCTCAGCGTAGACACAGAAAGTTTATTTGTCATCTTTTAACGTGTTTCATCCTTAACGCGGGCATGATACTCAGTTAGGTAGAAAGTTTAGAGCGAGGAGAACAAGCCCATTCACAAAGTTATCGAAATAAATGCGAATTGAGGTAGAACTAGCTTACATTGCCAAAACAAGACATAGCCCCAATCCAAAACATCACTGACTTCCACTGTAATGATTGGACTAACTTAGTGGTAAAGTCTCTCAATCCAGAATTAAAGTAATTTATATATTAAAAACCCATATGGGAAATATGGTTCACCACAATCCATACGTAAGCACAGCTGACAGTAGTCAAGGAGCGTAAAAACTAGCACTGGTTTCACATAACGGTCCAGTCACTAAGCCGAGCACCAAATAAGCTAAGTAACTATTTTTGCTGACCATGTGAAGGCTGCTGGAAAGAGAGGAGCGCATCGAGCTACCAACTGAGACAGACATTAGGGACCATTTCGTTTGGTGTTAAATGGTGCAACACACTATTTGCATCTAGACAACGTTTCGAGACTTACAAAAATGACGAAATCCTTGGAATTGAACACGGTGAGAATCAATGGACGAAAATATAACAGCCGAATTGATTTTTCCATAACTGTTTACTGAACAAATGGGCACACCTGATCTGGAAAAGAAAAAGCATTTGGTTGGAAATGTTTGTAATGTTCTCAGGCTTACTCGTTGCCGGAAGTGAAGAACAAAAAACGAATCTAGAACTATAACTACACTATGGTAACCTTATGTAAAGTAAATCCAGATTACAATATGGATTCCGATACGTTGGCGCATCAGTTTAAATAATTACCTTCCACTGGGAGCCAGTATTCCTAAAATGTTTTGGTAAATCACCGCAAAATGTGGCACCAAAGTATCCGCTGATGTTTGATTTCCCAAAGGCACTTTCAAGTTTCGTGTCGTCCAGATGAGACGCAGCCACATACCAACTAAGAATGGTTTAGTATGAAACAACATGAGGTATTCGTATTCAAAATGTTGCTCTACATCTTAGTGGTTGTCAGTAGATCACTTATAAGAATAGAATTCAGACATTATGGTATGGAATAGTTCCAAATGAGAATAATTTTATCTCATAAAACTGATACAGCATTGTTTGTTTACTGAAGATGTTCAGGGAACAATTTGCCGCCCATAGTCATATCAAGTAGACTACTTAAATTAGTGGGCAGCTATGCCTAAAATTTAAACTGAACAATGGGGATGGAAACTACTTTTAAGAATTCTAAAGAATGGTCTTCTGCGTCAAACAGCCAATACCATTGTTGATTTACTCAAATTTACAACGTAAAGCTTCTATAAAGTTCTAATCCATGCAGAACTCTTAATTTGAGGTCAATTCGCCTCCATTAAGTTAGGAACTAGAGTATTTCTGAATAGCCAGACCCGTTGTTTTATTACTGTCAGCGCGAAAACAGAGTGAATGCTGACTAAAGCCCTTCCATTAGTTGCATGAATGAGAGAATCATACGATAAAATTACTGCTCAAGTTAAACAGAATGCATTGAATTACTTAGAGCATCAGTGAACTCTATATATGCCAGTTATGCTAAACAATACATGGTGCCTCCAAAAACTAACAATTTAAACTTAGTTCTACTTAAGCCTGTTTCACCATCTCAACTATATCATAGGCTTTACTATCCTTCTGCGTTTAGCTAAGTACGCTACTTCCTAAATCGTCAGTTATTTCACCGTTAGTTGCCAGGAGTCAAAAACCACATGTTTGTAAGAGAAAAAACGAAAGAGCTTACTTAAGCTGCCTCCCTCCCAAATGAATCAGCTGTCGAATCATAGCCTCTTCACTTAAAGAATGAAATCTGAAACCTGTAAGTTAAATTTTAAAATGAGCTACAAGCCAATCAAAAGATGTGATAAGTGCGTTTATATTGAAAAGGTTATATTTACAACTTTTTAATACAAGAACGAGTAAATTGTCATGCTTTCTGGACCAGCTTGCATTCAAGGAACGCCGTGTGAGTTTGGTTCAATGTCATTTCTACGAGACGCAAACGCAGCATGATACTTTCCTGAACACCAAGTTCTGAAGTTAAACGACCTCTTTCGACACCATCACCCGAGTTGCTTAAGGTCGCCTTAAGCGTAAAAATATGAGTTTGGCATTGGATAATACGTTTCTCTAAACGGGACTTCAAATTACACATAAACTTGTTGAAATAACTGTCCTGTGTCTCAGAGGCGTGATTTAAGATATCAAATAGCTTGTAAGTTAGCGACGAAGGATATGACTTAAATCGTAAAAATATGTAGAGTGACAGGTTCAAAGCTGCCAGAAGCCAACTGCTTTCGTCTGTTATGTCTTCTTGTGGATTGCTTGGTGTTGGATACCGGAAAATGAGGTGGAATATGTGCGCAACTTCTTCTGAGTGACATACTTCGGCAATGTTTTCTGGAATGGACGGTGTCTTACGTGCTTTGGAATCATCAATGCTCCCCATGATAACTTCATGCAGGTGGTTCTTAAACATAGTGATCACATGTCCGCGCCAACCGTAGTGCATAGTTTTACTATTAGGTTGAAGGAGTTGGAAATAAATGAGCAGTCTTGCGAGGTAGGTGGAGGATAGAACTAATTGTTCAATGCATCCAATTATTTGTGTAGTAAAACTTGGCAGAACTTCAGTGGACACTGGTTCAACAGCAATGATCTGCAAATATTCTAACAACCTTAAGCGCCTTGAATTCCACCAATCGCGTTGTAGAGAACAGTAGTGTCTTTTGAATAGCTTTTCAAGGAAGAGAACGGCAAAACTCCGCATCTCCAAGTACCTGTTTTCATTAAATGTATGGTGAACTGCATCTAATTGATTACACTTGCAACTGCCTAAGAAGAAGTGTTGCTTTGATTTATCAAGCAAGTAAAGAATGAAAGGACAGGCCAGGTCGATGTTATGTTCATAAGTAAAAACTAATGGCCAAAATTTATACATATTTTCATCTTTCCCCATAGTGAAACGATGAAGCAATTGCAACCAGCCGGGCACATAAACAGATGCAACTGTTTTCTGACACACAGTTAAGTCTGGCAATTCAACCAGTAGTTTGCATGATAGATAAAATGTGTACAGACCTTCACACACGACTGAGAGATGATCAATAAATGACATTAGCAGTCCTTCCTTATCACCGGAGTGGATATAAGACAACATGGAGATGAGGTATAAAATGTGTCGCCTCAAAAATAACTTATCTGGATGGCTAAGCTGTTCGATTGAGTTACGTGAAATCATATTGCGAAGTGCATTCTCCGATGCACTCAATATGGAGAACAACTCAACACCAGAAAGGTTTTGTGCAAACATCTCACACCTTTCGAAAATCCCCTTGATGCGACGGAAACGTTTGACTCCAACTCTTTGAGCACAAGCAGATGTAAGTTCGAGAAGCTGGATGAAGTGCTTCACGTTACTAGACGTGTCAAGATACCCTTGAAACAAAATAAGGCATTCATCGCAGTCGCATGAGGAACTCAAAGCACGCAAAGCTTCCCGGAACAAAATAAGCAAATCTTTGTTTTTCAAGACGCAAAGCTTTTCTAACCAGCTAACAAACCACCCAATTATGAACTCAAGATCGCTGTCAGTTAAGCATGATAAAAGAAGATCTAAATGCTCTTTAACATGTTTCACATCGTTACTACTGGCATAGTCATCAATGCGCGAACACAAGACACTCACGCTACTTTTAGCTCCTTCCTCAACCATACAAGTACCGCACCAAACGTACTTTGCGCCCTTGTCCTAGCCCAACATCTTAGATATCAAGAGTTATAAATCCCCCATATCTAATATCGTTTTTCACGGGCTAAAGTGAACTAATTTAATTTCTTTGTGCTCGCTTCTTTATTGAGTTAAAGATTCCTGGTTTTCAGTAAACTTCTGAGTAGTTCGTCTTGTCAATCGAATGTTGTTGCTTTGGTTGACTGCAAGATGAGTAGTTCTGGGATTAATTATATGAGCGCCAGCCACACTATCTACTGACTCTTCAACCCGGCCCACGTGAAGTGCCTAGGTTTCAAAGAAGCCGCATCAAGCTTTTGGGTTGCTCCAAGGAATGGGTGCTTCCAGTGAGTGTGGCGAAATGTGCGGCTATGCTCATCGGATACGCCAGAGTAAGTTCACACCAACTAGAGGGAATAACACTGTCATCATTTAAGTCTCAGAATCTCCTAGGTGTCACTGTAAGGCATAATGGGTAAACTACAGCGAACTGTTGCGTGGTGGCAGCTCTAAGTTTTGATTATTATAGGCAATATGCAAGACGTACGCTGGGACCGTTAGTGGTAGGTTCGAAATTTATGTATATATATATATACATATATATGGTTTAGTCGAAACTAGAGACCGCATCCAGGTAGCCAGCACTTACCTCAAGTTGGACCCATACATTCTAGTAGTCCGAAAGAAGGCAACACGAATAAGTCATGGTTTGTGCAGTTTATCAGACGAGTTGGAATTACCAGTTTGAATCACTTCTTGTAGTGCCTTCGGCAGAGATGTTTAATTACAATGTTTAAATTACTCAGAGATGACTACAGATATGCCCCTTTTTATCTATTCCTTCCTACCAGGTTGGAAAATACTACAGAATATAGTAAAATAGTTCAAAAGATATTGAGGGAATATATCGCTGTGGAGAACTGATTGTCACCAGTGCACTAAAATAAGATATATATACCCACCACAGTGCCCAAGTATTATCTCACAGGAAACAGACTCTCAGTGGAAGTAGAGCCAGTAATCTCAATTGACTCGTCCAAGGAGTGTTTAGAAAAGCATACAAACTTATCAGTAGAGTATTAGCATAGGCTCCTAGAATTTTATCCCTACTCAGTAGGCCTGAAATCTGAATCTGAATCGTATGGTTCAGGAACATTTTATGTCATCACTTTCCATAATAACCCCTGACTCCTTTTATTTTAAAACATTATCTGTAAAACTCTTCAAGGAAGTCGGACAAGTTCTACGGATAGCATACGTTTGTGTTAAGTGATCAAAATGACTGACGAACTGAAATAAATCACCAACATCAGTTCTATTAGTGCCTAGGGCACCTGGCAAGGAAATGTATGCATCAGCTTCAAACACACTCCCCACCTCCCTCCGGTTCAAAACTGCTCCAGTACATATTCTGAAACGCGAATCGTGTTTCCAAATTTTAGATGATTCTCTAAAGAAGAACCTACTGGGAGACAATCGTGAAGTAATCATCATCCTGAGATCTTGAGTAGGGATGAAATGTTTGGGCTAACTCCGTGCACCAAATGTCTTTCTATAGGTGTTTATATAGTGACGGTATTGGCGTTCGCGGATTGTACAGTGTATACCAGCGCAAGCTCTAATACCCACATTTTCCACAGTATTCATTCCACGTCGACTAAAGGCAAAACAAAACACCATATTTGATCGTTCAAAGTATGAGATATATTTCGGGACCAAATCGGAGTGCGAGCTGGTTGCTTAGCTGGCTGGTGATCATGCACGAACGTGACGCGACGGAGTACCAAATGGTGTGGATGCTTGACTGGTAGCCTTCAGCCAAACTAGTCGACTTAAACAGTTAGGGTCAGCACCCCATGTTCAGTGATGAGTGCTGTGGTCAATAATTTTGGGGAATTATTTGCCGCCACAAGTGCATTTTTGAAACACTCGCGTTCTCATCAGGTCTGGTCCTACCAGAAAAAGGACACAATTGTAAACTACATGGAGGACATAGTGAGGGCATATGATGTCATACAATTAACACATAGACGGTTAGGTGAACTCACTTCTGAGCTCTTTCTATGGCTTTACAAAACATACGTCAGAACACACCATGAAGTGCATAATATCACTGCATCTCCACTGCCTAGGGGGGACGCAAATCTCTTGGAACGAGTCCAAAGACGGGTGACAAAAGGAGAGGTTGGTCTCCAAAATAAACCGCGGGATGAATGGCTAAAGAAATTAGGCCTATTCATACTTAGCTACGTCGCTTGGGGGTGATTTGACTACTACCTACAAGATAACAAATAACCAGAATCACCCAAACAAGGATGTTCTGCCGTTGAGTAGGTATGGGCTTCCTCGTGAGGGGGTAAGGACTAGGGTGCGCTCCCAATTCTTTCCACTGTGGGTTTGCCGTCCCTAGAACTCCTAACCGGCAGATGTAGCTATGGAACCGTCTGTGGATACCTTTAGGCGAAAGCTGGCAATCATGTAGCGACGCAAGGAGTGCGTCCAAATGGCTTCTCTTCTTTTGACGACGATACCGGAGGACTAACTGGCGAAAGGATCAACTCCATTCACAACAGTAACAAAGTCAACACACCTCGTACTGCGAACAACATATAATTAATTCCAGCACTACTCCTTTTGAAAAAGGAGAGTGGCATTTTTAACGTTGTGAAGTAAATTCTGCTTTTGTTGTTTAAACCACATCAGAAGCTTTTTAGTTCACTTTAGCTGATTTATTTAGTTGAAGTGTTGTTCATTTCATTCACATTTTTTGATTTGGTTGCTATTTACGCAGCTTTTATCAGGTATATATATATTTGTGTGGTTGTTTGGTATTAACCTCACTGTTTTCACGGACATATAATTGTGTAGTTCAAACAAATTAGAGTTATGGTCCCAACTAACAACTGTGGACGACCGTGTTGCGTGCGTTATTTGACTAAACTGCCGTACACGTATATTCTGGTATTTCTTCACTTTTGTTAATGTGCGCAGACGTTGTGGCTACTCGACGCCCACAACGTAAATCAAAAGGCACTTGCGAAGAGTACGATCGTGTATTATAGCCGTAGTCAAATTTCGAAATTGTGTCAAGGTAATATTTAACAGTAAATTGACAAATGTTTGCGAAGTACATATAAAATCGGTCTGTATACACATATAATACAAGTATACAAATTAGATTAAAAAGCATGTTTACAGTTGGTATAGGGGTACTACAACCGGACTGCCAGTTTCCTGTGGATGATGGGATGCAGTGTGACATCTGCAGCCTATGGTTCCACAAAGCTTCCACTGGTTTATCACCAGTAGCCTATAAGAGATGTTGCAAGCCATCATCTCCATGGCTGTGCGAATTTCGCAGTAACCGTTAGATATCCTCATCCAAGAGGCAGTAGGACTCTTGATGTCCAAGGAATTGTCAAAAAACATAATTGAAAAGCCTGCACCAGAAACCTTAGCCAAGGATGGCAGTTCAGGACTTAGTTGTAAGCCTGAGAGTGCATCACCTCCTGAAGCCTCAGAAGCAAAAGAAGCACAGAGTGCCCAAACACCTGTTGCTGCAAAGCGCAAAAAACAACGGAAATCCAAAAGGGCAAGTAGTGCCAGCACGGCAACACCAACCTGTGAAACAGCCACGCCAAAGCGCAGCGTGTCTAGTGCACGAATAGCTTCTAGTCGCGGCGAAAACAGAGTGGGAGAAACGGACTCCATTTGGTTGTTGCCTTAGGGTTAGAAGCAAAATAAACCTAGGAAAGAAACAGTAGCCGAGTTTACCAACAAGGTCTCGACGGCTGCTAGTACCAGCCAAACTCAGAAACCCATGGACTCTAGTAACAGTGTTATCATCTGGAATTTGAGGGAATCTAAGACCACAGATCCAGCTGCCCGACATGCTGACGATCTGAAGGCGATTAGTTCCATTATCCGGGAAATAATTCCCGAAAAAACAACTGGAGTACACATAAGAAAGGCCGTCAGGATCGGAAAACGAAACCCTGATGCTAGAGAAACATCTCGACGGCTACTTAAGATAGTTTTAGGGAACGAAACAGAGAGTAGCACCATCCTCAACAATGCGTTCAAAATCAACGATAAAAGTTTGAAAAAAGGCCTGATTAGCCTTTGGAAGATAGAATCAAAAGAAGAGAAGCCGTGGCTGAACTAAAGGTCAAGCTAGAGAAAGGCGAAAAAGACCCCAAGCTATTGGGTTTTCGGATGGTGAGGTCTCGGAAACCGGTGCTGCCGAGAACTCTCTTCATAAGCCGGATGAACACGTAGGTGTTTCGGTGTGCTATACGAACGCAAGTAGTCTTAGGAATTAGCTCACCGAATTAGGAGAATTATCTGAAAGACTACAGCCTGATGTGATCGCTATCACTGATACATGGTTGTTAGTGGGTGTAGACTTAACTCCACTGATACCTGGCTATGTCTGCATACGAGCAGACAGAATAAGTAGTCGGAAAAGTGGGGGTTTGCTCTATACACCCGGAATAACATAGGGATCAGATCAACATTGTCAGAAGCTCATGGTAGTGGCACCAGTGAAGCCACAAGTTGCGTCATTAACTTGAACAGAGGAACTTTACCGATCGGAGTTATTCACAGAAGTCCTGCAAGCCAAGCTGATGACTTCGTTTTAAATCACTTGAGAGCGTGGGGTAGTAGAGATAGGTGTCTGATTGTTGGCGACTTTAATGCTCCACATATTGATTGGGGGGAATTAAATTCCACTAGTTTGTATACCTGTTTCAATAGGGAGCTCACATTGACAGTGTTTGAGTGTGCACTCGTGCAACATATGCATGCACCAACACAGTATCACCCTGAACATAATCCATCTACTCTATACTTGTTAATAACACACCAGAAGGAGGACGTTGATAACATTAGGTGCCTTCCGCCGCTTGGCAGTAGTGACCACACAGTCATTGCCTTTACGTTTAAGATTCATTCTCTATACACAGGTCAAAATCTGCTCGTCCAAACATTTGGAAAGCGGATACACAAAGAATCTGGAA